GAAAACAATTAGCATATTGATTACGTATGTCTCAGAGATATATATATCTTTGTGAGATAATACAAGTTTTACGTTCTTTCATAAAATAAAATTATTTCGCGAAACGAGTATCGCGATGCGTAACGGTACAGCCGATATACCGTATAACCAATAGGACGTGGTATATCTGCTTATATTTACTGTGTCTACAAATGCAACTTGCGGGTCGAAATTTTTCGTAGCGTCGTCGTGATTCACTCTGATAATACTATTTTTGTTGCTCCGCTAAGACGCGGAACTCGCTCGAAGTTTATCTCGCAATGAGAACATGGTCTCTATCAGTCGATGATTCACATCGTATTAAATATCGAAAACAATAGACATTTTAATATGACGTTGCTCTAATCTCTCTTCTCTTTATCTGCACGGAGAGAATGGTTGAGTAATTTTTACAAAACTAGTTAAAACTATTCTGACTATTTTTACTGAACTCATGACAAATTTTACTTGTCTGAAAGTAAAAATATTGAAGATGTAAAAAGTACATTACAATTATAGTAATCCATTCAAGTGTTACAGGAAAGTTATAATAAATCATATTCTCAAAACTGTAAACAGAACACTTATATATTTTTTAGTAAAATAAATTTTGTCAATCCCCTAATGCAAAAATACTCGCTGACAAAATAAAATCTATTGACATATGGATGGTAATTTATATATTTTCTTTAGAACACATGTAAAAGTATTTTTAAAAAAGTAAATTTTTTTATATATGCAGGTAAGTGAATGTCTGTCCTTATATGGACCTGTCAATTTCGTAAATTTAATAGAATTCTAACGCATATTACTTTACATTGTTCTTCGCGTAAACACTACGTAGAGTATATCTGATTACTTGACACGTCCGGTAATTTAAATGTTGGCCTTCAAGCTCCGCGACGAAACGATTTATCAAGATAGATACGATAGTGTTTAATCCGAGTTTTCTATGTTAAATTTCTTAGACATTTAACATAATGTATATGTGGTGTAACCCCTTTCATTTACAGTGAAACCCCGCTGCTTAATTTTATATAGGAGGGAGATAGAAATCGTAGCAGTACCTTTAAAGTTGCGACGAGTAAATTATATATGGCAGACAAGATGATCTTGACCTGAAAGTGCACGAGCGAGTTAAATAGGATTAATCTCTCACTCTTGAACGATCGGACTCTCACTCCTTATAAACCTGTCGCGATTGAATTCGTATTAAAATTTTGTTTTGCATCTCGCTAATTACGTGTAATTGGCATAATTGCAATAAAACATATTATTACTTGTGTTATTTAAGATGAGAAAAAATTGATACTTTGCAGTTCCCTAGTCCTGCAATTTGTGCTTCCACGCAAAATATAATTTCTCTGTGGTCGTTTATTAGAATAAAGGCTACATGTCAGACGATAAATAACATCGTTACGCGGGTTAACTGCCTTCAATAACGCCATAGAAATGGTTTGAAAGAATTAATCTAAACGTTTGTACCTCTGATAACAGGCGAAATGCCGGACGCGTGCAACACATGCCTTTTATTAGCTGCTCTCTTCATCAAATAAAGGTAATTAAAGGGAAATTCCATAATGAATATTGCAGCTGCGATGCCATCTCTAATGTACATAACACCAACATCAACATCTTTTTATATCGTGAATAGACTGATATAATTAAGTATACAATAAATTATCTCTTGCAATAAATATTTGATTTCATGAAGACTCAAATGTACGATAAATACCTATGATACGTAAAGTGTCATATCTTTCTTTACGTTATTACTTTTAGGAATTGTAACATTATGAGTCATATATTGTATGACCATTCTTTTATCGACAAGTCAATTAATACAAAGAAGATATTTCTTTCACGATCAGTGATAATCGCTGTTCCTTCTCCGAGAAGAAATTAATCTTGGCATTCAACGCAAGTTAGGAATTAGTTTCAAAAAAAAATTCTGAAATTATTTTATTGGTCTCTCTCGACCTGAATGTAGATTTATCTCGTGCGATACTTTAGCACGTTATACGGTAACCATCCGCAATTTGTAAATTTGCGATAATGCCCATTCGAGGTTATACTAGACGACGGAAGGTTAAAGTGACGAGAGCTTGAACTAGTTCGACGTGTGTCGTTCCGACTCGCTGACGTTACAAGAGTCGCACCGCGATTAATTCCCGGGAAACTAGAGAACGGAAATTACTAGATGATACAACGCGACGCGCGATCACTACCTCTTGTTACCTCGGGACGGGACGAGAAGAGCGGGACGATCTGCATGTATAGCAGAAGGTCGGCGTACCTCTCGCCTCCGCGGCGAGATCACCGGTTTCACGAACAGTCAGTTGGCGATAGAGGTGGTTATGCAATGGCCGACTCGCGATTTCCATCACGGACGTTCCAGCCTTTGACTCTGGCCCAGCCCAAGAGAGATGGTCGACATGGGCGCCGGCAGCATCTTATTTCCACGTTCCACTCTAATTCCTTATCTTTAAAGTATCGAGTTACTGTTATCGTATCAAAATGAAAAAGGATAAAGAGAGTTATTTACACATAGAAAATATCTTCGTATTGTTAAGAGAAGTGTCTATTTAATTTATTCTCTTTCTTTGAAGTAATGGTTATCTTTAACAAGGAATTTTTTCTTGATGACAAAAAATATACTTGTTACAAATTCAAAAGAAAAAGTCATTATTATATACTCAAAACAAGAATTTACTTTCTTTTGAAGAATATTATAAAATTGATCGAAGAGAGAGAAGCGATATATTAAATCAAATCGAATTTATCTTAATTTAATAATATTGATTGAATAACAAATTCATTAGGATTTAAAGTATATTTTAAATGTTCGCGCTATTTTCCTAATTAAATGATAATTCATGATTTCTGATAAAATTAGTGATAATAAATTGCATAATGTGAAAATATCTTGAATCTGATAAACTAATGTTTCAGTAAGCTTTCAAATGTAAAATAAAGTTTCCACGCATTTTACGTGCGATTTCTAATCTCAGTTTCTTAATTACTTTTCAAATTAGCGGTAACGAAAGGTTTTTTAGATTTAATAAAGTAACCTAATTTTAAACGGATTAAATATAAAATAAAGTACCTGCATAGAGAGAGATACGATCTTAGATCCAATCTGAAATATATATTATATAATTTCTCTTTCCTACTTGTACGTATTACATTTTATAATAGATATCATTATTTAATTCAACATTTAAAAATTAATGCAATTTCCGTGAATTTCCTGATCGCAGATATCTCGTCCCTTAGATAATTTCCCGAAGGAGCGACTTCTTTTCCGTCATTGAAAATCGTACAGGTGCCACGGAGCTAAATGAAAATCGAACTCGACGTATGGCATTCCCGGCGTGAAATTTCTCCGCGGTCGATGGCTATTGTTACATCATTCGCATCCTTTCACAACGTCGCGCCTTATTGTCGATAACAATGGCAGTGGAGTACGGAGGTTCTGATAGATTTCTTTATTAACTTGGCAGGGGAGATCGAGAAAGTAACGCAAAAATACAAGTCATTTTGATGCACTTGACAAGATTGATAATCTATTTATTATTATTTTGACTCGGATTTATTGGTACTTTTCTGTTTTGAATGACTTCGTAATATTGTATTTAGGATATATGTGCCTATATTCACCTCATAAATTCATGAAATATTTTATCACGTGAAATAAGAATGCACTGCTTGATGTTCTTTAACGTTGACGTATATTAATGTACGTAACATCCGTGAGATAATATTAATTAAAGTTTAAATAATAGTATAAGACCGAGCACAATTATCACAGATCTTCCATACGATGCGATGATAATGCAGGCAGTGTTTATCGTTTCGTGACGAGAGCGGTTCAAAGGCCTCATTTGCGATAGCTACATATTTACCCGCATTGTTATAGCCAACTACGAGACATATACATTCAAATCTACTCGTGAACTTCACGAGTATGGAGATTTTATTTGTCGTAAACCAAAATAGTTTCTCTTCGTCAAAAATATCGATACACACATAAATATAATAATAGTTTCTTAATTAAAAACAAAAATCTTAATAAAAAGGTTTGAGAATTCTTGAAATATTTAATATCAAAACTTGGATCTTAATTTATAATTATATTTGTAGTGTGTATATATTAAACCACTACAATCACTAGAAAATGATATTAGTGTTTGAGAATTTGACATAGTTTGAATGTTTTATTCACAGCAACACAGGAACAATGATTTTGCTGAAGTATCCAAAATTTAGCTAGATTATACAAATTTAAAAATAATTTTGTCAGACCATTAAAATATTTAGATAGAACACTGATTACTAGAATATCAAAAAATGTTATCCTAATTTTTGGATACTGTAGCAAAATCGTTCTCTCCGTGTAATGACTGTTAAAATTAAAACATTTGAAATAAAGCAGACGAGACGTTTAAATTAGAAAATCATGTTTTCAAAATTGTTTTCTATAGTCGAATTTCGATCAGACTAAAAAGTCTAAGAAAAAAAAATTAAACATTCATGGAGAATGGAGATACTTTACACTTTCTATACGCAGCGTAATGCTAATATTTGTGGGAAGAGTTCACGTAAAAGTTCACATACACGAGCTTCATTTCGAACTTTATTCAATTCAGAAAGCTTTCCAATTATATGAATATGTAGTGATTCAATAAATCACAAGCAGATTTTGACTTTGTACACCGTTATTCATTCACGAGCACGTATTGATTTTATTATACTGTTATTTATTCATATGGAAATATTGTCTTTTTAAAAGCTTTTGCTCTTCTATACGTTTCGTTATAGCACATATAAAGATGTTCCTCTATTATTATTGCTATTGTATATTATAATTTTTATAAATTATATGAATTTCGTTCACTTCGGATCGATATACGTCAATTATATCAATGGCTAATAAAAACGAATGACTCAAAAATTGAATACACATTTTTTTCTCGTTGCAGTTTCTTCAGAATCTGGGCAAGGTTGATCGAACCGCGGACGATATATTCGATGAACATCTGCAGAACTTCACGAGGCAGCAGAACTCTGCCAACAAACTGCAAAAGGAGTTCAACAATTACATCAGGTGTGTTCGAGGTAAGTCTTCCCGCGAGGCAAAACTAACCCGTCTTTTCTTTAAATGGCAGTCGTTATTTATTAGACGCGCTAATGTTTGTCGTGTTTTACACGCAGTACAGAGAGAAAATGTGATATTGTGCGATAAATTAAATGCTTAACGACAGTAAATCTTATAATAGAGCTCTCAATATTAAAAAAATCATATATTCAAACATAACGGGAAAATGAAAGCTACACGGTTTTTATTTGTGTAAGTTTGTCTGAATAATTTTTTATTATTTTTTCAAAAAGAAGTTTCTGTATAGACCATAAAACTGTTAAAGAAGAGGTTCACATATTATGTTAAAGAAGAGGTTCACATATTAAGAAATGGAGAATCACTCATATTTTACTGGAATATACCTCCATTTGCAATTTTTTAATATTTTTGTCAATTTTCTATTATTTTCTGCAATTTTTGTATTTATGACCTTGAGGCTGAAAAAAGTAGCCGAAACGTCAATGATATGTCTAGAGTAATAATAAAAAATAATTGAATCAGAAACATACACAAATAAGAATTATGTAATAGCTCTCATTTACCCGTTATGTTACATGAATGATTTTTTTAATGTTTAACTTTACAAAAATTTTAACAGTTAGCTATAGAGAAATTTTTTATAGATTCTTGAATGTGTGGCAGTGTAATTACGATGGCATATGTCGCTTTGCTTAAGCACCTTAACTTTTAAATGATTAATTATAATATCTAATCAGCGTTTCGAATATGTTCGATATTGATTAGACAGAAATTTATGTAAGCGCTTATTTAACAACTTATTCGTAGTAATTAAACAGATGTAAAAATGTGTTATAAGTACATAATTAAAACTGCTCAGCAGGAAAACGACAATAGCTATTCATCTGGCGATTAGACTAAGCTTGTTAGCTATTAATATCTTAAATATAACTTCTACAATGTAGAAAATATTCGAAGGTTATATTTTTGAATTATGAATTATTTAATCAGTTGCATACGTCTTTTTGGTATAAATTTAATTAACGTAAAATATATTGTGATTTATATCAAAATACTTGCCATTTCACGAATTTCACATATATTTTATTATAGTTATTAATGAATGAGAGAGATTTACATAATATTCTTCGATAATGTCGTCCCAAGAATACCATTTTTCGATGTAAATTTTAAGAAGAAATTCTTTCCGTGTATAAGCAGTAAAATCCTTTGTGCATTTATTAAAATAACTTATTCAAATTAACAAAACCAGACATACATTAAAAAGAAAAAAAAACTCGCGTTGCGACGAAAGAAGAAAAAAACGAGTTGCATCGCCGTGACCCGGTTGCTAAGCTCACGTGGAGGCTGAATTATTTGCTCTGTAACTCCGTACTCTGCCCTCTCTTTTTTTGCTGAGATTGAGATAAATGCGTTTATCGATACGTGTTTAACTCGGAATTGATTTATTGATATGCCTACAGTTTCACCATGTTGTCCTCTTACCTCGTTTTTTCCTCTATAACAATAGGATATAAAAATTATTTAATTACTGACACACAACAAAATAAATAAAAAAATGTTGCGCCTTATAAGGATATGATAAAAAGAATACAAATTTTATTTTAAATCTTAAACAAAGTCATGCAATTAAATATAATTCTTCATCTAATAAATATCGAAAAGACTGCACGAAAGTAACAATTTTTCTGGAGTATCTGAAAGTTTAGTTCAGGATTGTGCGTTTATACGCGTAAAATATAATAATCTGTATCTTTGTATATATAATGTAAAGTATGTAAATTATGTTTTATGTGTCATGTCTTTGTAAATAATCTATTCATTGATCAAAGTTCATAATCTTTGTCATTGCACTGTATACTGCTTTAAAGCTGTTATCTCTCACTTATATATTTTTATTTATCAGTATTAAATTCAGATATATGATACATCATCATAAAATTTAATTTTTTTTCTATATCATGTTATTTAATTTATAATAATGTATTTAAGTTATATATTTTACATTGTTTGTATTGCCTACATGAGAAAGATTCGTATAAATTTAACGTAATCAATACATGAAAAATTGCATGTAAATGTAATCTTGAAATATATAGCATAACGTAATTTAGTTAAGTGCAGATCTGAAAATAATTTTGTTGGGCCATCATCAAAATAATTCTGTAGAAAATTCAAGCATGATAAGCAATATTGCAAAAAATTCTAACATTCTAGCAATCACTTTGCACATCTTACATAATCATTTTGATAGTCTAACAAAATTATTTTAGATCTGTTTCTAGGTTTAGATACTTCATCAAAACCGCGTTCTTTCCCATGGAAGTCTTTATCGTGCACATGATGGGGAGTTGATTTCTGTTAATTTAACGAAGGCTGTCATCGACAATCGAGGAAATGATTTTCGCTGTCCGTCAATCGACACTTCCATTCTCTCGGATGAATGACGGACAGATGTGAATAACTCGCAGACATTGAATAATAACGGACCGGTGATCTCGCGCAGGCTTGTCGGTATCAATTACTGTCGTGAGGAACCAACGTAATATTTTAATCGCCTGTATATTCGGTAATGCACTGTGGCACATAACACACGCAAAAAAAACGACCTTTGATAGCACTTTACAGGAATGAATTACTTTTTGCTGCAATCTTTTGCGCTGTTTCAGTAGCACCGAAATAAGCCACATGGCCTTGTCGCGATTGTTAAATATTTCAGATAACATAGTAGCCCGACGTACCATCAACAATACAATCGATAAGATACAGTCGAAATTGATAAAAACAATTCGTTGGTTTTTTTAATACACAAGAAAATATTGTATTGCTAAGAAAAGTGATTACTCAATTTACTTTTTTCTTTTAAGTAACGATTATCTTTAACAAAGAATATTTTCTTGATAATATATTTATAATAATTCTAAAATATACTATAAATTTAAAAGACTCGTTATTCATGTCCACAAGAATTGATTTCCTTTTGAAGAATATTATAAAATTGATCGAAGAAGCGACTTTATATAATAAGCAAATTAAATTTGTTTTAATTTAATAATTTTGATTGAAATATCATATTTGTTAGGATTCAGAATTCATCTTTATATCACGCTTGTGATGAACTTATGATATTTGATAGATTTGCGGATACATCTGAAATAGTTAAAACAAATAATTATTATTTACGTACAGTATGTCTTTTTGTATGTGAATACGATGACGAGATAATTAATATTGTGCACAGTAAATACGATAACATTTTACTATCCAATTATTTAGTAGAAAGTTTAAATTTGCTTAGTAGTTAAATCTTGCTCCCTGTTTCTAATTTTATAATGACATAAGATTGTGATTTATAATGCAAAATCATGGAATGACTATGCTTATCGATTGCGTAATATATGCACATATTGCGTTGTGTAGAAATATTATATGTTGTAATTCATATAGGCTTATTATCAATTTTATATTATATTGACTGAATTATATTAATTTATAAAGCGATTGACACTGACGCTCATATATCGACAATCCAGCCTTCGATAAAGTCTTTAAGTTTATGAGGTTTCTCTCTACTTTACGAGTGGGGAACTACGCGTTTTAGAAGCTGGACATCCGTCGATGCAGTTATTTTCTATTTCTTTCTCTTTCTCTCTGTCTCACCTCAACGTGAGTCTTGACACAAGGCTAGTAAACACGCGCGAAATCAATAGAAAAACGTCATTCGATCTTTAATCCCTCCCACTCGAATTGTTAGTCGCAAACAACTTTTCCACGCTTGGCTGGTCTACAGCGACGCGATCGTTTTATAGCCTCTGCGTTTCGACATCGTTGATCACGAATTTTAATTTTCGCCAGAGACAGACTAAAAATCGTCGAAAATGTGTGTAAAAAAAAAAATAGGTACGATATTCGGGGACGCTGTTTCCCTTTAGACAAACGTCGCGATGCGGTCGCGGATGACTTCTTCAGAGAAGGTGTTAATTTCGAAGTGCACAAGATCCGCGTTAACAGCTCTTAGCTTTCCATTTATCACTCAGCGAACGGGCATAAATGCCCACATGCGAAACGTCGGTAGGTAGGTGTCGACGACGAAGTTCCTCTGTCATCATAAATGCGGGCAATGGTATAATAAAATACAACGAAAGTATGTCCGTAATGCGTTTTAAATTCAATCGCCGACGATTCGTCACAATTTTCGCGAATTTTCCATCACCGCATACTCTGTGCTCGAGTCCAAGTTGCAGATGAGAGAGAAAAGAAGGTGCAGTAATGAGGCCGCCGGTGCGCGACTCATTGAACGGAGTAAAAAGCGATTATACTGAGAATTATCATTATGGCAGCCCGTTTACCGTAATTTGCACTAACGACGAATCATTTGGTTACATTTGCGCCACATGAATGATGTTGATTGCCATCAGTTGTGCCTATTAAAACTTATATGTGGTTATTAAATTTAATTTATAATATAGTCGTGAAATTGCTTAATTGTGTTTGCCAATAAATGTAATTATTTTAGAATAAATTTCTCTAAAATATGCGCGCTTACAATTTTATCGCACGAATTCATTGATTCAGTAATGGAAGTCAATATTTTCTATGTAAAAGCAGTGTGAAGCACTTTACTTTATTTATTTTTTGTTTATTTTATCTTATTTATTTTATTCAATTAGATTTAAATGCAATATTTTTTTTATATGTGCTGTATTTAGGTTTAATTAAAATGTATAATGTGTATAATAAGTACAAATCAAGTATATATATATAATAACAGAAATAAATCTTTTGATGAAAAATTCTATTTTAATGTTAACATATAAATAAAATATTGTATCAATTTATATGTGGAAGATCACATTCTTTGTTCACTTGCAATTCGAAATTTGACGCAAGTGATAAAACATTCTTCAAGTTTTGCTGAAGGAATTTGTAAGCAATCGGCTTATCGCCGTAGGTGAATGCACTATAAGAGAGGTTTAGATGTAGGTCAGGAAAGTAGTCACCCGCGTTGCACATTTATTCCTGAAGTAAAAAGACACGTGTCGCCGTAATGGAAAATCGGCGTGAAAAAGTTTCTCTCTGCGGCTGGGGAAACAGCATCGTCTCTCCCGACGACCGCGTTACGCGTTACCGTCTTCGCGACTTGAGATGTCTTTTCCATCTTCCTCCATTACTTTTGCCACGCGAATCTCTTCGTAAATTTTTTGCAAGTTTTCTCATTTATCAGTAATAAAATTTTCTCAATGATGGTTAAAGTGTCTGTAAAAAATAGATGAGAAAATTGAATGAAGCGACGTTGTGTTTTATTTTGCAGCGGTGCAGGCCGCCTCAAAGACGCTTATGGACTCGCTGAATGAGATCTACGAGAGTCAATGGACCGGACACGATCTGTTGTACGTGCAGGCACAAAATCTTGACATGCTGTGGCAAGATTTCACTCACAAACTTATGGACCAGGTTCTTGTACCACTCAACACGTATCAAAGTCAATTCCCGGAGATGAGGGTACGTCCTGTGCAACTCGATGATTGCACTACACAATTTTTTATTAATATTTTTTCTCACTTTTTTTTTAAATAGAACTTCATTAAAACCGCAATTAGATTAGTATATAAATTAATAAATCTTTATTTTATGTTTCTTATATCCATGTCTTATCAGAAAAATTAGTAAATAATATTTTATTACTTGCTTTTATAACAAATAGAGAATAATTTACACGTAAAATTGTATATTGAAATTACTAATAAAAATTAAAAACGAATTGAGAATTTTACTTGATATTTTATAAAATCTCTACAACAAGATCAGAGTAGATAATGATAGTAGTTTAGGAAATTAATAAGATGAATTTATCAAGCTATTACATTTCGAGGATTTCATTGATTTTTCAGAAAAAGGTCGACAAACGCGGACGCAAACTGGTGGATTACGACAGTCAGAGACACAACTTCCAGTCGTTACAGGGTAATCCAAAGAAGAGGGACGAACTCAAAGTATCCCGAGGGAAGGAGCTATTAGAAGAAGCAAAACGTACATATGAACAACTGAACTCCGAATTGCACGACGAATTACCAGCATTATACGACTCACGCGTTCTTTTCCTCGTCACAAATTTGCAGACGCTTTTCGCTGCGGAACAAGTGTTTCATACTGAAAGTGCCAAGGTATCTAATGTAATAAAAATTAGCAATAATAAGGATCAATAAAACTAATAAGAATGGTTTCTTTTAAAAATTTTTCCTTAAATTCCTTCTATCAAGATTAAATATTATAGAATTCTATTTATTAACAAACTTTAATAAAATGTTCTTCATTGAAATGTAAAAGTTTTGAAATATTTACAGAATTTTACAGTATAATTATTATGTTCTTTTTTTTATTCATATTTTTAGGTATATTCCGAATTAGAAGCAATCGTTGATAAATTGGCTAATGAAAGTCAGCGAGGATCTTACACGTTGAAGAAAATTACGGAACCGCAATCACCGAAGTCACCTAACGCGAACTCATCGTAAGTAGATCGATTCTGCAAAAATTGAAATTATTGCGAAGAAATAAAAGTCGTAATTACAAAAAAGAAACGTTATTTGGCAGAACTGCAATCATATAAAACATAATATTAAAGCAGTTGTTACATAAAATATGATACGATAATAATTACACAAAACGTAAAACCGAAAGAGATATGGTAGTTATATAATATTAATAATACTGATTTGTTTCAGCCTAATAATTAACACGCAACCGGCGCAGAACAATATCTCAGGAGGTAATTATTTTGCTGTACTTTTGTTTCAAGAACATTTGAATTTGTACGCGTGTATATTAATTATATATATGTTACACTAACACTCGCATGACTGTAATGTCTCGCTTCACATAGAACAAGAAACGTTTTCCAAAAGGCTTTGAGCTCCACAAGGCCGTGTTGTGGCTCGGTATTCAGTTTTGAGTGTGCTTTCTCTCGCGTGTTTCAGCTTTAGATACCGCGCCCGTTGCCAGAGACACGTCGCCGACCACCCAGATAAACGGCAACGCTAACAGCAACGCTAATAGCAACGCTAATAGCAATGATAATTCTCTCAATAATCAGGATGCGTCGCCGCAGAACGCAGTCGCGCCTTCCAAAGTCGAGGAACTGTATGATATTCCAGTCGGTAAGCCGCGAATTTTTAAACTTTGTCTTTTTTTAATGTCTTTTAATGTGCCTTTCCTTAACGTTATTTGATCTTATTGATTTCAACTAAAATAATCTTGAGTAATCATTTTATTTTCGAATTGAATAATTTAAAAATAATGTTTTTGCGTCATTCGACTGCAATATTAAAATTATTGGCATAATTCAGTAACAAAGTTCTTGTCACAGTAAATATGAAATAAAATAATTGAACTATATTTTGCAAAAACAAATGATTTTTTAATTGTCGGTTGATTTATTTTATAAAATTGAACTCAATAGATTGTTTTGAATTTCAAACTGCATTGTGTAACGTAACAATAAATTAATTATTACTAAATTTGCAATATCGGATAATTATTAATATGTATAACAGTAATACGCTGCTTGCCCCTATGTGCATGGTCTTGCCGAAACAAGATCGTAGTTAATTTGACCTAGTTGTAAAATTAAACGTTAATTATGCAGTTGTGCCCATATCACACTAGTGACTGGTGTATTGCGTTTGCGTTCGCGTTTGCATCTCTTAATTAATTAGAAAGAAGCCGCTGACTAGCAGTTCTTTTTTGATTGATCAATAGATGTAAACGCGAACGAAAACGCAATCTTTGATCACTAATGTGATGCGAGCATTAGACGAATGAAACGAAATTTCGCACATAATTGATTATCGAAGTCTCCGGACGAAATCACAGGCAGGTCCATGACTAACGGGGCGGACTCAATCGTTCTAGAGGCGGAATATGAAAATGCTGCTAATTTCTCTATAGGGGCGACAACAGACAACCTGCCGCCGGGCGTTTTATACAGGGTTAAAGCCACTTACAAGTACAGTCGCGAGGATGTGGACGAGTTATCGTTCGATGTTGGCGAGATTATTCGCGTGGTGGAATACGACGATCCCGAAGAACAGGTCTGTAATTCTTGGAATAAATAAGAGTCGACATGTTACAAAATCTAAACGTATTCATTAGCGTGTTCGACGTTTCTTTTTACGAGGTTCCTTGTTCATTACAGGAAGAAGGCTGGTTAATGGGTATCAAAGAAGGCACCAATGAAAAGGGTATGTTCCCGGGAAACTTCACGAAACCGCTGTGAAAGCTGTGCTCGATTCGCCATTTACACTCCAATGCTCATCAGAGACAGCGTATTTTACTTTAAAGTAGTTAAAGAGTCGCGTAATTAAGTGGGAGATAAAGAGCCGCGCGGTCATGCGAGAATAATATTACGTTCGGCGTATATAGGTAAAAGCAAACGGAGAGGAAAAAAAGCAGGCGACAAGCGTTGCAGGAGGAATATGGAGAAGGAGCGGGGAGAATTCGATAAGATAGTTATGCTGGAGGGTACTGCGGAGAGAATCTATCACCCCAAAGTGCCTTAACCCAGCCACTGTCTGTGCCAACATTCACTCTTATTCGTCAAAAATATATGGGATTGACCCTCTCATATCAAACGTACGATACACATCACGAATAATAATCAAACGACGTATTTAAGCGACTAAATAATATATTGTAACACGTATACACAACAAAACACACTACATATACATGCGAGATACACAACGATATGCAATATTATATAATATAAAACGAAATCTATATATTAAATTAATATTATTTTATGAAACTGTACATAGATCTATATATACGATTTAAGAATATTTTAATAACTTTATGGCCACTGGAAAATTATTACTAAGAGACGTACATCTTCAAGTTTAAAAACACGCGCGCCACTTCAGAAAATCCCCTTCTGCCATTTAATGGGAGGGGCGATCATAAAATTTTTAAGGTCCAACTACCTGTCTGCATTCGTAAGGTAAGATTCTATACTATTTACTCGCCTACAGTTCGAAAGTCTAGTGATAGCTCCCATTAAAATCTCGCCACGATTCGCGCGCGCGCGCGCGCATGCCAAATTTTTCAACGACGTAACAATAGATATCGAAAAGATTATACGTGAGAGAATTAAATATTACAATGTATAAATGAGATGGAAATATAGCTTTTATGTATTTATGATTGATAGTTTTTTTTTTGTTGTTTCTCCGCTTTTTTGAGAATCGCGAACTTTTATCCAGTGAAATCTATTTATGAATTATTTTACGCAAGTTTTATCCATTTGTATCCGTAAATCTTTATGTACATGTATGTAGAAAATTGGATAGCGACGAGAGAGCGTTTATTATTATTATTATATTTTATTACTACTGTTATTATATATATTGATATTATTATCGCTCCCGTATCTATTCATGTTATCAAGATAGAAAAACGAATACGTAACGATTCAACTCCGAAACTTTTGTAGACTCGATCAATACTCGTTAGATCTGCCGAAACAGTCTTGTATTCGCATCTTGTGTAATAAATAGTGTTGTAATAATATATATACATACGTACATACTTACAGCGTTAGCATTAAGAGAAAATATCAGCTTTGAAAGAATTGTGTGTCTTTTTATTTTATCATGCTGGTCTACTGTGCAAGAATAGGAAAGTTCAAGTGCCTTCTTGTGAAAGAGGCCACTTGTTTCGAGGATTAATTTATAGTCATGCAATTATTTGATTTAGCAAAAATTATTAATAAGTTGTAATATTTTAACAAACAAAAAAGAAAGTCTGTACCAATTTAAAATCTTAGAAAGATACTCGAAGAGATTTTAACTAATCCTTTCAAGCTCGAAATTATATGTACAATAATAATTATGTAATTATATTTTATCAAAGAGTATTCATCAAATGTGGAGAAGATAATGCATTTAAATATTAAGAACGAATATGATAAAAAAATCCCTTTCGTACTAAATTTTTGTATGGTACATAAACACAAATATGTTATTTATTTTTGCATTTACAAAATAAAAACAATACAAAAGTCAACAAAAGATAGAAAAAGAAAAATAAAAAATATTAATTTATTACTGACATTACTATTTCAAGTAGATTTGGCTTAAATATATATGCGCATGTATTGGAAAGGATAGTAAATAATAGCTTTCTTCTCTTGTCCAAAATATAAAAATATACTTTTCTATCATCTTGTATAAGTGCAGAGGACTTGAAAGGTTAGGTATATGATAAATACTCTATATCCGTTTGTAATTAATAAAATGTTAACAAAAACTCTGCAATTTTGATTTTTATTTTATTGCTATTAAAATATAACAATATATAAGATAGATAAACGATAAAATAACAAAAGTCAATAGTAAAATTAAAAAAATATTTTTATGTCATTAATCTCATTATCGATTGCTATAAATACAAGAACAAATCTCTTATAACATTTAGATTGACAAATTTTTTTCAGTATAATAAGCAAGAGTTTAATGAAAAGAAAATGTTTATTTTGTTAAAAATAATTTCTAATAACATGTATGGGTTATACGTGTCTGCAATTTTTCCTTCAGTGTTTGAAAATAAACAATTTAAATTTTCCTACTTCCTACTTTTATATGTATATATATACATAAAAAAAGAATCATATTTGTACTAAAAAGGATTTCGAAAAACTTGGAAAGTTTCGAAATAACGATCATATATATATATAAACTCGAATGATTCATGTGTGTCATTTAATGATTAATATTTTATATATTAATATATAACGCAGTTAGGAAAACAAGAACAGATAAATAAGGCAAAAAAATGTCTATAATGGAAATAAAGATTCATTATAATGAGCGCGTAAATGGTTATTTCTTTCTCTATCTCGTATTTTATAATTTCTTTTTAAACATTCACTCATCGTTACAATCGAAAAGTTGACGAAATTATCGTATCATATATCGATTACCATAAATTTTTTTACTTTTATTTTTACACAGTTTATATCATATATCTTAGGAAAACGGGTATATATTAATTACACACGAGCCAGTTGCACACAAGCTAATCACAGCGCTAAAAAAAAAAAATAAAAAAATTCCCTACGCAGAAGTTACTGCGATAGGCAGTGGGCAATTGCTACATGCGCAAGTGAACCATTTCCTAGCAAAACACCGCAACTTTTTATAAGAAAAATAAAATTAATGAAATAAAATGAAATCAATTAGTGTTAAAATAATAAAAATGATTGCTAAGCGCGACGTCTCTCAAGTCTTTACACTATTTTTTTAAAACTTTTATTTATTATAAGGGTTCAGATTTGTATTATATTATAGAAATCTGATATTATGGGCTTCGTGAAACCTCACATGTTAAACTTAATCTTCTCATCAAACAATGGTAATTTTGTGTCATGCGTTTTTACTGATTCATAGAGAAACAACGCAGGTTATGAAATATAGGGGATCAAATGATAGAACACGTGTTACACTACGTTTTAAATTAATTTGTATAAATGCTACATCAAATTTCTTTTTACATTTTTTAATAGAACGGTATTTCAAATATTAAATTGACAAATTTGTTAATAATATGCGCATTTTTCAACATGCGGCTTCTTATTTAACGATTAAAAATAATCGAACAAGTGAAGCGGAGCAACCAAAATGGGATGACTACGAATTCTATGGTGAATTCAGAATTCAATTTCAGATAATTGTTGAGTTTAGGAGCCTCTTACTGAGATTTTGATAAAATCAGTCTTATTACGACGCGTTTTTGCATAAAATAAACGAATCTGACAAAAAGTATATACTCTATTCTGCGGACCGAGATATAATTATTAAAGTTGACAGATATTCAAGTTAGGAAATCCGCGTTATATCGATGGCATAGAGGGGGGTTATACAAATTCTCTGTTTTAAAAAAACACAATTTTCTGCTTTAAAAACAAATTTCTCTGTACTATAAAAATAAAAATTATATAGAAAATAATTTGTGTTTTAAAAACCAAAAATTTTAATATTTGTAAGGCAGAGAGTTTGTTTAAAAAAAATTTGCCATTTATGTGACAGATTTTCTAATCTGAATATCTGTCAACTTTAATAATTAATATCTCGATTCGCGCGGGACAGAGCAACACTTTTTTTGCCAGATTCATTTATTTCACGCAAAAAATAATTTAAATCAAAGATAAAGACAAAAGGATAAAATTAGTCCGCGAACAAAAGTTAATATATTCTAAATAAAAGTTTTATAAGTTCTTTATAAAGATTTCATCAAAATTCACATATAAAAAGAATTTATAAAGTCTTCATATAACCTTTTAAATAAATGCATATTTATATATATTTTTAATATAGTTTATATTATCAGCTCATTTAAGTTAATAAGTCCTTATTAAATTTTATTAAAGTCCAATTTATATAATTTAATTAAATCTTAATAAGTTTTAAATAAGTTGAATTAATATGTTTTAATATAGTTTTAACAAGTTTTAATAAGTTGAATTAAATAACTTAATATGGATCATTATGTGGTCCAAATTAAATCTATATAAGGTTTTAATAAACCACATTTATTGGAATCGTTATTAAGTATTATATTAAATTTGAATAAAATTTATATTTAATTATATTAAATCTATATATATTTTTTTTCGCAGGAAACAGATGAAGAATACAAATAAAATAACAAAGCAGCAGAAAAGTGAGAAATTCAAAATTTGTTAAATTCTTACAGAGAAATTGCCATTGAAGAAATTCAAATACAGTCTAAGATTATATATTTCGTTTATTTGCACTAGATAGAAGAATTCTCTTTTTGGAATATCGTAGAAATCGTAGATTTTCACACGATACCCCTTTCGAATACTTGTTAATTGCCGCCGCGCGCTCGGTCGGTAAAGTAGGGAGCGCAGTGATCGGTACGACAGGCAGCGCCGCGCCGTCACATTCTCCGTGCCTCCTCCCCGGCGGGTGGCGGCCGCGCCTCCTCCTACTCGGCGATTTTAATCTCGTTAGCGGACACGTGCGCGCCCCCCGCGCCCTACGGTGCTGGTGATACGCAGGCAGCTCAGCCACGAGTGAACCCGGAGGAGCTGGCCGTGGGTGCCGTGTCGCCGGGGCTTCGCCAATCTGGTTTGGTCTAACAAGATTCACGGCTCGCGCGACGTTTCATAAAAGCTGCGTGCCGGACGGGCGCGGCGCGTGTCGCAAGGAGTTGCTCCGCTCGAGAGGTGTGGGCGCTCGTGCAGCAGCAGCCGCCGCCGCCGCCGCCAACAGCAGCAGCAGCAGCAGCAGTAGACAGAGAAAGAGTGATAGATAGGTAAAAGAGGGAGAAGACAGAGACTACCAAGTATCTCTGGTGAAACCTCTCTCTTTCTCGCACGGCGACTCGACACGTCGTCACCGTCGTCGTCGTCGTCGTCGTCGTCGTCGTCGTCGTTAACGTGACCACGCGCGTCGTCGTATGCCGCGCTCATCTCGTGGTATCCTCGTGTTGTGTTCCCGTGTCATTCGGTGCGTCGGAGCAGCAACCGCAGTACCACCATCATCATCGTCATCATCATCAACAGCAGCAGCAGCAGCAGCAGCGACAGCTTTTCGCGTGTGCCACGGAGAGAGCGTGACAGAGGGAAAAGCGGGGCCGCGCGAGCGAGACAGAGGGAGCGAACGTGCGAGCGAGAGGGAAAGAAAGAAAGAGAGCGAGAGCGTGAGCGAGGGAGGAAGGAGGGAGACGGAGCGCCGGTGGGTTACCACACCCAACACCGCGCGAGCCGGGGAGCCGATCGCCGAACGTCGTCGCTGCGCCGCTCTCTCTCGAGAGCTCTCTCTGGCCGCGCTGTGCGTCTAGTACTACGCGGGTGAACGCGCGCCGACCGTCCAGGACTCCGGGTCATCCGGGTGGTGTCACCGCGGGTGCTTCCGTCAAGCGCGCCGAGTGTTTCATCCGCGCGCGCCGGGGATAAGAACAGCGACACGGATAATAACGACGAGGAGAGAGGGAGTGAAGAAGTGCGCGGTGAGAAAGAGAGAGAGAGAGAGAGACTGAAGGAAGGAAGGAGCGAGTGAGAAAGGGACAGACGGACCTCGCCCTCTGCGAGGAAACATCCGTCGAGGTTACAGCGACGTCGTGCCCGTTGGGGAAGGCGAAACGTGTGCGTTCCGGTGGGTACATGTGTGCTACGTGCGTGCGTGCGTAAGTAATACGGAGAAGGAGAGGAGAGCGGGCAGAGAGAGAGAGAGAGAGAGAGAGAAGTATATAATACATAGAGAAATATATATACACATATAAACGTGCGCGCACACACACGTACACGGGAAGATTCGCGTAGTGCGCCTCGACGAACTCGCACTCGGGGCGAAACGTGCGTGCGCGTGAGCGTGAGTGGGACGGAGTGAGAGGAAGAAGGAAGGTGAAGGAAGAAGAAGAAGAAGAAGAAGAAGCGGACGGAACGAAGAGCGGAGAAGCGAGCAGATCGTGCGGAGCAAACGGAGTAGTCGGAGTACGACGACAGAGGCGGCGCAAGGGCTCGTGTGCGTGCGCGTAGACGCGCGTTGATGCGTCGCTGGCGTCGTCGAGCCT